ATCTGGTGACTGTGGAGTACAGTGAACTTATTGTACCCATAATAATCAAAAAATGAACTTGTTTCTTGAAGCTTTATGACAGGGGACGTTATTCTGCTGAAAGCTATCAGAAGATGGGTATATTGTGGTCATACGGGGACAGAGATTGACAGCAATAGTACTGAGACAGGCTGAGGCCTTTAATCAATGATCAGCTGTTGTGAAGGGGCCAAGTGACACTACGCTACCGCTCGAATACTGAAGCATATTCAGTATCAGGCAGGATGGATCCATGTTTTCATGATCACCCTGTCAAAGCTGGTCCAAATGATACTCCTCAGAAAAGCTTAAGTCTGGTGAGCCTTTGCAACTTGTAACCTCATTTTCCTGTTCTCAGCTGATGGGAATGACACTCTCCAGGTCCTCTGCTGTTGTAGCCAATCTGCTTCAAGTTCAACATGTTTTATATTTTCGCAGATGCTCTTCTGCATTCCTTGGCTGTAACGAGTTGTTATTTGAGTTACTGTTGCCTTCCTATCAGCTTGAAGGAGTCTTTGCCTCTGACCTCTGACGTCGCAAGACAGAGCAACACACTAATGCTCACTGGATATCTTCTCTTTTACAGATCACTCTCTGTAAACCCTGAAGATGACTGTGTGTGAAAATCCCAGTAGATTAGAAGTTTCTGAAATATTTACCCCATCACCAACAACCATGACATGTTCAAAGTATTTGAAAGTAATTGTAAAAGTAATTGTTTTCAGCTTAACGTGCATGCGTTCGTGTAGTTTAGTCTGAAGTTTTTGTGAACTTAAACAGAGAATGTTTTCTACGCTGAAAGCTTTTGTGATTGTGACTTGTTTCTTAGCGTTCAGAATAAAGACTGCAGAGTAACCGTGCGTCATTTGAATCAATATTTTGCTGTCACTTTTCTTACTGCCACAGAGATTTAGTAACCTGTTGGGAGAAATCTCAGAATCAGCAAGAATTTGTGGCTCTTTAGATCAAATTCCTTCCCAGAAACACGGGCCAGTTGCTAAAACATGAGCGCACAGTAGAAGCTTTGTTTTCCCCCCTCTGCTGAGAAACTATGAGAAAGCGATTGTTTTGAAACCATGGTAGGACAAACAGGGATTTCCCTCCTCCACCCAGCTGTAGACACGCGGTGCCTTCTTTTCAAGAACACCAAAGAACTGGTTTCCCCTCTCTGAACACGGTATGCAAAACAAGCAGGCGCACAAGCAAATGATCTCTGCCTCACACATGCACATGCGCGTGAAAATAACACCCCACCCCACTGTGCCCTGCAGACAGCTGTTTCTGGTTACACAGGCAGGTCTGCAGTGAAGAGGAGGACCCGGCATGAAGCAGAAGCTGGAGCAGAAGCTGGAGCTCGCTGCCCTCGGCCTCGGCGCCGTCGGGTGGCTATGTGCCATTCTGACACGCTGCCTAGCCTTGTGGAAAGTCAGCGGCACCGTGGACAACACCACAGCTACTCTGCCTGCCTACTGGGACGGGGTGTGGTTGGAATGGGATCATTGGGATCTGGCCCACGATGGCAGCCTGCATTGCTCCTTTTACCGGTCTCTCATGTCTCTTTCTGGAAGTTTTCGGACGTGGAGAGCCCTGATTTTGGCAGCCATTGGCGCTGGGGCTTTTGCTTCAGTGATCGGAACAGTGGGGATGGTGTGGTTCCCTCAGCGAGGCCAGATCAAAGTGTTTTCTGGTAGTCTCTTTGTTTTGTCAGGGATCATACTGTTGGTTCCCATAGCTTGGACGTGCCACCACACCAGTCAGCCACTGGAGGGCGCTGTGGGTCTACAAAGGGACTGGGGACCTGCTCTCTACCTTGGATGGATCTCTTTTGGCTTGATGCTTGCCGGTGGGGTGTTTCTTACCACCAGATGCCCAACTGCTCAGAGGCAGGAGGAGCAGACTTCAGACAGCAGGTACCCAAATCTAGAGGAGGAGGCCAGTCACCCACTGAGCAGGATCAACAGGACTACGTTCACACACAGCCAGTACGAACGCAGATCAGAGCCTATCTGAGAGGACTGTGATGCAATATTTAACC